TTGTAGGCTTGCCATCTCCTCTATTTTCTATGCTCGAAGCGCGCGCGTCAAATTAGAATGGCGATTGACATACTTCATAGACAAAAGTTGCGTTCTGAAACAAAATATTTTTTGGATGCATTTTGATACAACACATTTGCTGCCTTACTTTCGTTTTGAAACAAACCTCATTTTTGACATGCTTTTTATATGTATTAATAGCATATTGAAGCAAATCGAGTTTCGTTGTAGTAAAGTAGTGTATTTAAGGGGTACGAATCCGTAGCATATTGAAAATTGTCGGAGATATGACAACTTGCGTTTTGAAACGACGCTCTTCAATTCATCTATGTTGTCAGCACCGTTTATCTAAAACTAAATGTCATTTCTTGATGTTGGTAGAGTAGCTTGGCGCCCATTCATTTGCCATTCATACATTTAGTAAGGAAGTCCCGTTAATAATATAAGAGGCGGGATGTTCTCTTTGGTAGATGCGTTGTTATTCTCCGGAAGTTGTAGGAAACATTATTATGCAGTTGTTGACGAGTACGTGTAACTAGGGTAAATTGTCCGAGAAGGTCAAACTTTTTCCGACAGGTAAATCAACTGTATAGACGATGGGGTTTGCAAGCTTCGCCGATAAAAGCGTTGATTTGAGATCTGAACAGGTATCAAGCTCTATTGCAGTTCTTTTATATCATAACGTTAGAAGTGTACAACGTTCGTCGACGCCACTCGTGTAGCTAGCAGCGGCGGGCCACCTCTCATTTCTTAGAGGCTTATTGAGCTATTACCACAGATTACTTTTTTATATTAGTGCGATGCGACCCACTGCTTCAGTGCGTGTTAGCGAATTTCACATGTCGTGGAAATATTTTATTTCTTAGACATACGGGTTTCCCCATGTTTTCTTTTATTGGTGCCGACAGAGTTTGAATCAGTTGCTCGTGAACTGTGAAATTTACAAAAAGTTCTTTGCCTCTTAAGTTACCAGGGCACATTAGGCAAATTATGGTTTAAAAATATATTTCTTTTATTCATTTCAATTCCAATTCCCCCCCTCCCCACCATCAACATGGTAACGGAATTGACCAGAAGACTACCCCAGGAGGGTACCAGATCCCCTGGAGAATCCTGGAGAGTCCTGGGCGTGGGTGCTCAGGCTGCCCAGCGTATTCGGGGGGGGGGGGGGGAGCAAAATTCCGCTCGCGACTAATACTGCTCGGGGCAAGCGGAGCAATACAACCAAGGCGACCCCTGTCTCGCTATCCGTGAATTTTTGCAACATCAGGGGACTTCATTACAACCTTAACGCTGTCCATTACCATCTAGAGACAGCGAAGCGGGCCTTGCTCTTTTTAACCGAGACTCAGGTGTCCTTTTCAGCTGATGCTTCATATCTCTCCTACCCGGGGTACAAATTGGAACACTCCTTTGTGCTCCGGGCCGGAGTTTGTGTATACGTCAGAGAGGACATCTGTTTTCGACGCCTCAGCAGTCTTGAAGGTACGGACCTGTAGACAGCGACGACCATCCCCGCGTCTACGGGTGCCTCTATAGGTCCCATAGCGGTAATACCGACACAGACCGACTCATCGACCACGTCCATATGGCTGCAGATTCCGTGCTACAACAGCTACCATCCGCAGAGATCGTGATACTCGGTGATTTTAACACCCACCATGCTGAATGGCTTGGTTCTCGTTTAACCGATCATGCGGGTAGATCTGTATATGACTTTGCCTTGGCATATGGTCTAACACAACTGGTTACTTCGCCTACGCGAATCCCAGATGTGGAGGATCATGTACCTTCCCTGTTGGACCTTCTGTTGACCTCTCATCCGGACGTATATCAGGTCTCCGTCGATGCCCCTCTGGGCTCTTCAGACCATTGTCTGATCCGGAGTACGGTGCCACTCACGCTTCCATCGCAGTTGCGATCTGCAGCTTGCCGCCGTGTTTGGCACTATAGGTCGGCCGATAGGGACGGGATGCGGTCTTTTTTTGCATCCTACGCTTGGGGGTGGGTTTGCTTCTCGCCGGAAGATCCCAGCGTTGTTGCCGATTCTGTTGCTGATGTATAGAACTTTTTATTTCATCCTCTGTGGTGCCCATCGGAGGCAGATCCCAGCCATTGTTTGGTCGCTCCTGTAAAATAGCATCACGCTATAAGCAGGAGTGCTACCAGGCCTGGGCTGACGCAACGTCCCGGGATGTAAACACCAGCGCTCTTAAAAAGAAGTATAATTCCGCCTCCAGGTCCTTCAAAAGTGTCATTGCCAAGGAAAAGTCAGAGCACATCGGCAGAATTGGCGAAAAACTAGTTCGCCTCCCTTCGGGAACACGTGCATTCTGGTCTCTCGCGAAGGCTGTCCAAGGGACTTCTGTCAGCCATCTCTACCATCTCTGCACAGGGTGCACGATTCACTGGCCCATGACGCAAAGGAGAAAGCCGATCTGCTAGGCTCTCTTTTTGCTTCCAACACGACTCTAGATGACGGGAGGAAAACACCGCAGACCATCCCGCGGTGTGAGTGCTCCATGCGGGAAGTGCTGTTTACACAGCGCTTGGTGCGTAAAGCACTCCTCTCCCTGGACGTCAACAAGTCGAGTGGGCCTGATGGAGTCCCGCCTAATGTGCTGAAGACGTGTGCTCCGGAGTTGGCACCGGTTTTAACGCGTCTTTTTCGGTACTCCTACTCCCTAGGCGTAGTCCCGAACTCATGGAAGACAGCTTTCGTGCACCCGATCCCTAAAAAATGCGACCGCTCAGATCCGTCCAACTACAGGCCTATCGCTATCAATTCCTTGTTCTCCAAAGTAATGGAAACTATTATTAACAGCCAGTTCAAGCGGTACCTTGAGGATCACCAGCTGATTAGTGACCGCCAGTACGGTTTCCGTCGAGGTCGCTCAGCTGGTGATCTTCTAGGTTACCTCTCATAGATGGGCGGAGGCAGTGGAGTCCAAGGGGGAGGCGTTGGCCGTTAGTTTGGACATAGCGAAGGCTTTCGATCGGGTTTGGCACAAAGCGCTTCTTTCGAAGCTGCCTTCCTATGGGCTTCCCGAGAAATTGTGCAATTGGATCACCAGTTTTCTTGCAGATCTGAGCACCAAGGTCGTAGTAGACGGTGCATGCTCCGATTACAAGCCCATTAACGCTGTGTGTTCCACAAGGCTGCGTGCTATCACCAACGCTGTTTCTTCCGTGCTATCACCAACGCTGTTTCTTCTGCATATCAATGATATGTTGCAAACCAGTAACATTCATTGCTATGCAGACGACAGCACTGGTGATGCTTTATACACCGGCCATGCCAATATTTCTCGGGAAAACGTCGCCGAGTACCGTAACAAACTCGTGTCTGAAGTCGAGACTTTGTTGAACAAAGTTTCAGACTGGGGGCGACTAAATCTAGTCCAGTTCAATCCCCAGAAGACACAAGTTTGCGCGTTTACTGCTAAAAGGAATCCCTTTGTCATATCTCCTCAGTTTCAAGGCACTCCCCTTGTTGCCTCAGCCAGTATCAGCCGGAATCCTCGGCGTCGACATATCGAGTGACGTGCAGTTTCGTGGTCACTTGGAAGAGTAGGCCAAATTGGCCTCTAAAATGCTTGGCGTGCTCAGCAGAGCGGAACAGTATTTCATGCGGGCACACCACTTGCAACTTTACCAGGCGCAGGTTCAGCCTCACATGGAATACTGTTCCCATCTCTGGGCAGGGGCTCCTCAATACCAGCTCCTTCCACTTGACCGCATCCAGCGCAGAAGAGTTCGAATCGTCGACGACCGAGTTCTTTCCGATCGGCTTGACTCACTGGCACTGCGTAGAGATGTTGCATCTCTTTGCGTATTTTATCGCATCTACCACGGGGAGTGCTCTGAGGAATTGTTCGGACTAATTCCAGCCGCTCAATTTCACCATCGCACATCGCGACAAAATTCGCGATACCATCCACATCATCTGGATGATTGGCGGTCCACCACTGTGCGATTTAGAAGAAGTTTTCTCCCTCGCACAACTTCCTTGTGGAATCGATTACCACCAGCGACTTTTCCGGACCGATACGACTTAGGGACCTTCAAGAAAAGAGCCTACTCCTTTTTAAAAGGCCGGCAACGCATCTGCAATACCCTCCCTGGTGTTGAAGTTGTTCATGGGCGGCGGTAATCACTTACCATCAGGTGAGCCGCATGCTTGTTTGCCCCCTCTCCTATAAAAAAAATTCATGTAAAGATCAAAGATAACCTTAACGCAAATATAATAAAACAATTAAAATTTAGATCTAATGAAATTTATTGATAATAAAATGCTTATTTTTTTCGTAATTTTAGGATAATTTATTGAAAACGTTAAAATAGTATTGTAAATAAGTTATAATAAACATTTGGTATGTTATAATAAAATAATTTAATATGTATAAACAAATTTTAACAAATACATACATAAAATTTTGTACAATTTAACAAAAGAGAATCGACAACGAAAAATATATTTCAAGTAAAACAGCGCCATTAATGACGTTATATTATAACAGTAATAAAAAATTGACGCTGTTAAATTAAAACTATAATACATATATCAAAATGCATATAATTTAGAAAATCAAGAATACATACATCATTGTCAAACATGTTTACTGGCAATCTAATTGTCAAAGAACTTATATTAAAGCTTAATTAATCTGCATATAAACACTATCAATATAAATTAAAATAATTAAGCACACATTGTGTGTACATTTTTATAATATGAATTATGCAGCTATTTTGTGACTATATGTATAATTATAGGCGGGTAACGAGGGAATATACAAACAAATACAATATACTAACCTTAATTATGCATGAAAGATTTTACTATAGTTACCAATAACTTTCTAATTAATTTTAATTAATGTAACGATTATCGGTGCAGTGGCGGTGTAAGAATCTGTGCGGAGAGCTATGTTCAGCAATGGAATTAGATAGGCAGTAATTAATGAATGTACTAAATATATCGTGTTTGGAATTTAATTTTAACATGAATCGTTTTTCACATCACAATCGCCATTTTGTTTTAAGTGATCTCTCTGCAGGGTTTTCATTAGAGACGTCTCCTTTTGCTCCTTACGTGTGTTACGCAACTCGAATTCAAGGCGGTGGCGTATAATTCTCTGAACGATATCATCAGTTGTCATGGAGTTTCCTGAATTTAATGTCTGCAATAAAACAAAAAAAACCCATTAAAATACGAAATAATAGTAACGCTTATTTTATTTAAGTAAACAAAAACTTACTTTGAAACATCCACGTTGTTTTGGCACCAAGTATGGGTCGGAACCGTCTGCATCAGGTGCTATTGGCGTAAGTCCATGGCATACCACTTGAACTTTAAAATGGTCCATTAAATCGGCGGTCACACTATACGGTGCTCCAATCACCACTTCATGAACGTACTGTAACATGAACGAATAGTGAATTTTATAATTGATCAACTTGAGTACTTATAAGCAAGCTATAGACCGCACGTTTGCGCGCATGAACAGTAAACACGGGTATGAACAATGTCGAAATGTCAAGCAGTAGCCCTTAAGGCTATCTCGAAGGGTATCGAGGCGAATTAAAATTGCGATTGGCGAATATATTTTAATGGTAGTGACAAAGGGACCAAGACAAATAGTTATATCCTGCATTGTTTGTCCTGGCCGCCGCCGCCACACCGGGTATTCTCCTACCTCCTACATATTCGATTATAATAATAATAATTTTATTGCTTAAAACAATACAATTTAAACTAAATGGTGACAGGGGTCCCCTTTTAAGCTATGGAGCCTGTGATATATGTGTGCCAGGGGTACAGCTCTTTCTTAAGTTTACAATTAACATTAAGCTGACAGTTTTAAAGCAGTTCAACAATAAAATTAAAACTAGTCAAAATTTACACAGTTCATATATAAAAAGATTTGAGTGGTGTGTGTGTGTGTGTGTGTGTGTGTGGTTGTGTGTGTGTGGTTGTGTGTGTGTGTGTGTGTGTGTGTGTGTGTGTGTGTGTGTGTGTGTGTGTGTGTGTGTGCGTGTGCGCGCGCGCGTGTGCGTTTTCGTTTCTAACCATTATTGCAAAAGCCTTTTACATTCAAGATATATATTTAGGTATTTGTTAATACTTTTATAAATATACGCCGGACGAGCAATATACTGCATGGTAGCAAAATTAGCGTTTGTTTTCGGGACATCTATTATTATCTGCCTTCTTTTTGTAGCCTTAACTGGATCATACCTAGTCAGGTCAGTGATAAAAGCTGTGAAGGCGCGAATTCAAAGAAATCCCAAAAGTAAGCAGAAACTGTTGGCCCTTCAGATGGGGTTAAGCAGAACCACGGTGAAAAGGGTGTTAAATGAAGACTTAGGGCTGCGGGCATATCGAAGAAAAACAGGACATCGTTTGAATGCTCGTCTAATGGACCTGAGACTGAAGAGATACCGCGCTTTGTTGAAGCGGTACGCGGGAAAAATATATCGGGAAATTCTTTTTTCGGATGAAAAAATTTTTACCGTAGAAGAGAGCTACAACAAACAAAATGATAAGGTGTACGCACACAGTAGTGAAGAAGCGAGCAACCATATTACGCGTGTCCAACGGGTCATTTTCCATCCTCGCTCATGGTATGGTTGGGAGTTTCTTATTGGGGCTTAACAGAGGTACATTTTTGTGAGAAAGGTGTAAAAACGAATGCAGTTGTGTATCAAAATACAGTCCTGACGAAACTTGTGGAACCTGTTTCTCATACCATGTTCAATAACAGGCACTGGGTATTCCAACAAGATTCGGCGCCAGCTCATAGAGCGAAGAGCACACAAGACTGGCTGGCGGCGCGTGAAATCGACTTCATCCGGCACAAATACTGACCCTCCTCCAGTCCAGATTTGAATCCGTTAGATTACAAGATATGGCGACACTTGGAGGAAAAGGCGTGCTCAAAGCCTCATCCCAATTTGGAGTCACTCAAGACATCCTTGATTAAGGCAGTCGCCGATTCATATCTCCTGACTTTGTATCTGCTCTTGGCACTACATGTCGCAATGTCTTGAAAATCCATGTAAGTTTTCTTATTCTTTGCGTGACGTGTTCAAGATGTGTGTACCAAAACTGTCTTTGGTCTAATAATACACCCAAGTATTTTACTTCTACTTTATGCATAGTAGGTTAGTAGGACAATGACAATTTTGTCTATCTGTTGTACTCTTACATTTATGTATCTTTACCTCAAAATAGTCAGGTTAGGTGTTGTTGTTAACGCTAAAACAAACATAACTACTTATAGCAGTGTTTAGTGTAAGAAGATTACAACATAGCCATTTTCCTATTTGCTCCAGACCCTTTCTTTTTATGCGTTCTCTTTAACCTTCTTCCAGGAATTCCCAGTACAAACAACGGCAGTGTCATCTGCGTAGGAGAATATCTTAGCGTTCTTGATTGTCATATTACACAGATCATTTAAATATATTAAGAAAAGTTTGGGTCCAAGAACACTTCCCTGAGGTACACCGAACGACACGTTTGTGCTCTCACTGATATAATCTTCTAATTTGACCATCTGCTTCCTATCTGTCAAATAGTCACTAAACAGTCGAAGTGCGGCTTATCTAATACCGATCAGTTTCATCACAGTTTGTGTGTAAGGATAGGAAGAGAAACAGTATCAAACGCCTTTTGCAAATCTAAGAATGCTGTCATACATTTATTATGGTTATCCACTTCTTTAACTACCAGCGAACTTAATGCACAAACCGCGTCTTTGGTTGATGTTGCTTGTCTAAATCCAAACTGAGACGTAGATAGTGTTTGAGCTAAATGTTAATTTTTAAAAAACTGCATTACGAGCGCTCGCGTCCATGGTAACAGGGGTCGCTGCAGGGCCTCTCTTCCCCGCGCGCGTCCCCCCGCTCACGCCCGGTCACCTGATGTGGCGATTAACGGGACTGGTTTTGACGAGGCGTCGAGCGCCACGAGAGTAGCTCGACGTGTGGGCCCTCGTATAGTCTTCTTTGCGACCGTTACTAGGTTGCGAGCGTCCGGTGCTTTGATTTGAAATTTTGAGTTAATTATTGACATTAATTACTGTCGTTTTGCTCCATTGAACTGCGAGGTCGCGCGCAAAAGGAAGCCTCTAATTCGTGTCGTTTTTTGTTAGTACGTTTACGTAACGACGAGGCGTTTGTTCTTGAATTTGAGTGATTAAAGTAACTTCGTTTGCAAGTAATTTACGTCAATTTGTATAGTGATTGCATGTTGTAGTGCATTTTACAATATTTAATTTGCTTGTGTGACGTGGAACCGTGCGCGCACGCCGAGTGGACTGAAGGCCTGGAATTTGATGCTCGCATTCCATATCGAGGGCGTGGTCCGGTTAATTATTTTCGGAAGTTAATGTTGAATTGTAACGTCGCGTTAAGTGCCTTTTTGTGTTGACTATTTTCGATCGTTTTACGTGTCAATGAGGCCGACCTTGAGTTCCGATTGCGGGCGTGATATTTTAATATCGTGCGAAGGAATTTAGCTTGTCGTGTGGGACGCTGAACTTTGAGACTCGAGAAGAGGCCGCGTTCGTTCCCGTGTTTGTAAATTTGTGCTACGTGAACCCGGAACATTGAATATTGAACTTTGAACGACGGTTTGTTACTTGTGTCGTGTGTCACTTGTTTTAATTTCAATGAACGTTGAGTTGGTTGACTTTGAAGTTAATTAAATGTACAATAAAGTTGATGAACTGAAATAGTGAAAAGATGGCAGTAGTTTTCAATTGGTTAACTACGACTGGAGGGAGCGCACATTTGGAGAGCAGCGGCGCCTGTGGATCTTCTCTCCGATTACATCGGACCGTCAGGTTACATGTATATACACTTTCGCACACCACTTTACATACACCTGACTGGTGCCCTGTGGTCAACCCTACCTCCGGAAATTGGTAAGTGCTTGCTTATTTGTCAGCCGTTTTTGAACATTTATCCATAGGCCATTGGGCCCCGCTCTCTGTTGCCCGCCGATGGGATCACTCATGGGCCCTGGTCCAGTCGACCTTTGTCGCGGCAGCTAAGGGCGTGTACAGATAGTATATCATATCTGTTTAAATACGAGATTAGTCTAGAGTTTAATAGTTTTTCGAGAATTTTGGAGATCGCTGGTAATACAGATATAGGCCTGTAGTTGCTCACATCGTCTTTATCGCCAGTCTTGTAAATAGGGGTAATAATAGATTGCTTTAAGGGAGCAGGAAATATTCCTTTTTCAAAGCAAATATTCACGAGATGGGTAACGATGGGAATCATTTCAGTATTCGCAAATTTTAGAAAAGTAGTTGGGATATTATCCCATCCCGGGGCACTTGCCGACTTAAGGTTCATCAGGATACTATTGACTTCATCGTGAAAAGCGTGTATAAGACCGAAGGAATTTGGCTGAGATGGTAAGTTATGTAGATAGGTATTCATGTCATTTACTTCAGGATTTACTTGTTCAGCAAGCTGTTTACCTATATTAGCAAAGTATTTATTTACGGAATTCACACTATAGTTCTCATAAATACGAAGTAACTCTTTATTCAAGTATAGTTTTATTAGTATATGTGATGTGATATTTTTTATGTTTTTCCACAATTGTTTGTTATTTTTTACTGATTTAGCTAATAAGTCTCTCTCATAATTCCTTTTTAATTTTTTAAGAAGGTTGTTACAATAGTTCCTATGTCGTCGGTAAGTTACTAAGTTTATATCATTAGAAGAGTCACTTCGCGCTTTTTCTTGCAACTTATTACGGTTTCTTATGCAGTTTGTAATGAATATTGGTTGATTTCGTTTGTTTTACAGATTGCGCAACAAAATGCAGTTGCTATAAGGTATCCGTGTTTCCTCGGGGGTCAGAAAAATATGTTGTAACAATTTCACACCTACAAAAGATATGATTAAACTTCACAATTTCCATAAAGTATATCCTAAACACCACAGACTTACGCACAATCTGATTTTTACACCCCTGTTACTGGTCGCTCACTAAGAAATTATGATGATTATTATTATGGAGGCCTTTTAGAAGAGGTTCTTTATTGGAGAACGACGAATAAATTATGTTCTTCTACTTCGTCGATCTCTAGTAGTACATTAAGTAATAAATACATTAACGCGTAAGCGACTTATGGATCAGTATCTATAGAAGAATTGCTGACGCTTGGCCGCAGTCTAACTACTACGAGTCAGTCATCGAAGGCGTCTGAGGGGGCAATAGTGCGGGTAGGTGCGGGGCGATACGCGAGTGGAGCGCTCCCGAACGGTTATTAGTCGTTTGGGTGCCGTTGGGCAGGGCTGTCTGCACTACGTGTGCGGTAAAAAACATGGCTATATAACAGAAATTTTAAATCTAGTAAAAAATTGAAAATATCTATCAGTTGCACATTTGTAAATATGTTTTAATGCAAACAAAATAGGGTTGTTGAGTTAGGTTAAAAACGAATAAATATTTTATACCACTCAAAAGAAAGTTTAAAAATACGATAGCTGAAAAAAATAACATCCGTAGAAATATAGCCGATATTAAAATTTACTTTAAATTTTTCTTTACCGTTTTCTTCCCGCAAAATGGCGAAATCGATTAATGACGTAATTTTATGTGTATATGCTGTCTTTGCCTATGCAACTTGTGTATATGCAACTTGAAAGCTTCCACTTACATTTCAACATGAATTCAAACAAAAAAGATAGTGTTAAATAGGTTGTTATTATTCAAAGATACGTTATAAACAGCATATATTGTATTCAACAGTTTACGTTTTTTATAATTAACTAGCTGGTACCCGGTGCATAGCTGCCGCAGAAGAAATAATTGTGGGAGTATCATTTTAAACTTGGAAGAGTTATATTGATTAATTAGGAATGATAATGATGGTGATACATAACTTTCAAATGAATTTGTCAGAACGATATGCGCGCCACCTACTATAAATTAGTTGTACTATACCTATAATGTTCGCAAAAGTGCAAGCAATAAGTTGACAAAGTTTTACCGCAATCTGATGAACGGTATGAAATCGCATAAAATATGAACAAACAAATATATAATTTTTTATATATTAAATTCTTTTTTGTAACTGCTATTATAACATATTTTTATTATTTCTAAACTACAATTGTCTAATTAAGTTATTTGTTTAAACGTGGAATAAAAAACACAGTATTTATTTTATTTTATTACTTCCCATTGTGACAACACTGTTAGGGTTTATTGTTTATGTCGGCTTTTCCGATAACATCAAACACGATTACTGACTGTATGTTATTCTTAGGTTGTGGCTTGGCATGATAGGCATTGAACGTTACGCAACTCTATAGTTTGCTTATTTATACTCTTAGTTTATTAACAATAAAACAATTGTGTACTAGTAAAATTAAAAAAATAATGCGTGTACGGTACCTTACAAGCAAGCACGGACAGTACACGCTCGTGTAAATTCATAATTGGGTGGTTCGACCCTTTGTACCGATTAACCTCCAGATCCGTATGCAAGCCCACGATGAGAAAATCACCTTGAGCGTGAGCAGCTTCCAAGAAGTCGAGATGGCCAACGTGAAAGAGATCGAATGCACCTGCGACATATACCACCTGAGGAGATGGACAATACTTATGTTTTAATCATTGTCATCACAAATCATCAAGGGTCCTGCCAGCCTACCCCAAAATTTCCCTTAAATTATCGGGCTGAAAACTGTGGAAACATAAATATATATATATATATATATATATATATATATATATATATATATATATATATATGAACATGAACACTAACATATGGATTGGTTTAAAGACATGATAACATCTTGTATCCGCTGATATATTATGTCGGAAACGCCATCTCGTATTTATACCAGATATAAAGGGTAATCCAGGCCGACGAAAGGTAGCAGCGACAATGGTGCGAGATGTCTAGTGTCTCCTGTCTAGCGTAGGGATTAAAGCAAATTCTCATCTCTATGACAGAGGTCTGTGTCCTTTATTGGATGTTTATGGGCGCATTTTTATACTTATACTTTGGCGTATTTTTATTTTACTTTGGTGTACTTTGGTTTATTGTTTATACTTTGGCGGTAACTAATAATCTCTAACATCTAACTTAGAACTGACAAATAGCCACTTATATACGAGATAATATTTAAATTTTCGCGTGCTTATGGACGTTTAATATTATCTATGACAATTAAAGACTTCGAATGTCAAAAGGTCATCACGCCAATGAAGCGCAAACGCAACGAATCGTACTACGAAAGGAGGCATACTCAACACCCAAACGTCTCATTTGCACACCTTCATATCTTTTTTTTAGAATAATTGTGACAAACGAGCACACAGTCCACATGATGGTAAGTGGATACTGTGGCCCATAGACATCTACATTTATCCTCAAATGGTCTCCGGTTCTCTACAATCACCATACGAAACACAGCAGCATTAAGCTGCTATTTTACGTTGGTATTCATTCATCTAGCTTCGCAATCCACAAACGCATGTATCCCTTCTACCATTTTGCCACTCACCCGATGTTAAATGGAATTGACAGTGAGGGCATCCCTTTTTAAAAATTAAAAAGCTATGCCCTCATAATGAATACCTATATTATACATATTATATACAGAGCAGTGTTGTAATCTCCTAGACGCTGCTCAGCAGAGTTGGATCCGTCGATTGAATTGTCGACGCATTTCGGTCACGTATTTAGCAAGCCTACCACCGTGTAAAAAAATTTTCATGTCCTGGAAAAAAATCACAGACATGCGCTCTGCCAACACGCATTGAACTCTCCCGTGGACTTAAAATCCTTTAAAGAATTAAAGGACGCCTATGCGCAGCAGGTTGTTACTTTAGTGGTGGCGGCAATTAAGTAATAACTATTGTTCATCCTCATCTCTAGATGGAGTGACGACCTGGTAAGACATGCAGGAAGTCGATGGATGCAGGTGGCTCAGGACCGTGCTTTGTGGCATTCCTTGTTAAGGGCTGTAATGATGATGATGATCCCCATCTCATTACGTAAATAAATATTACAGCCATTACCATTAAAGCCTATCAAAAGTCCACTGTTGGGACATAGGCCTCCCCAATAAATTACATCTCAGGGTTAATATATATTCGCTATAGATGCTACGCTTGGCAGGGGGTTGGCAATAGCAGTTTTTATTTTTAGATGCCATTAGGAAGACGCTGTTGCCCATCTCTTGGTTTCGGGTAGTGGATATTCTTACGCCATGTATTTATACTAGATATTATAAGATAGCCGATGAGTGGCGTGACCAATGCGATTCGAGGCGATTGCACCATATATCTGCTATGATTGAATGTTATTTAAAGGTTTATTATGAGGATGAGTATGATATGAGCATAAATACTATATATAGATTTTTACCTTGTCAGTAGGTTTAGGAGAAAGTCCGCTACTGAATTGTATAATTTTCTGGGTTGTTGGCAAAAACTGAGAACAGCCTGTATATGGTGACCTGGCAGTAGAATCTGTACCAAGATTTGACGAGTGTTCCAATGCCACCGAGTACTCTTTATCACCTCTCCTAGAAATTATAGCGCATTTTGGTCTTAATCACATTTGTTTAGTGGCAGTGTTGATGCCTAGTCAGAGACATCGGTCTTTGGACTATTTTGTCTGTGGCATTTCAATTTTGATTTCTTATTCCAAACTTATATAAAATAAGAAATATTTCGATACCTTTATAAGACCAACAAAGGATGATACGTATACGTACATACAATACTAAAACCGTATTGTTGGTAAAAACAATTTTTGGTGCATATTTGTGCATAATTGCGAGTTCTTACAAGTTGAGCATGGTTTACCGTCTGTATATCTTTTTTTGTTGGTCTGAGCTAGGGCTGCCATGTGCCACAGTTTTCCCAGATTTGTCCTAGTTTCGCGAGCGTCCTGGGGTCGTCCGGAAGGGCTTTACAAAAATTCACAAAAAGAGAGACACATATGATGATAATCAATAAATAAATAAAAAATAAAACGACAATTAACAGATACCTGTTGGAAAGGAAGATATTTTAAGCAAAACTCGGGAAGAATGAAAAGTAATAAAACTTAATTTTAAATAAGTAAAAATAAACTTTTTCTGTTGACATTATAATACATTACTGCGTATATTATTGGGCGAACCACACGTAACAGTAGGGCGTGTACACGCGTAGTCCATCATTAATATATGTGCAGGAGTGAATTATTAGCACAGACTGCTGACACGGGAACGGTAGTACATTTTATTAGCAAAAAACAAAACGCAAAGTAAACACAATAATAAGAGGAGAATGCCAGATCGTGCCTCACCTTGTACAAAAAAGATAAAAATATGAAAAATAATCTTATGAATTTTGAAGTATTTGGGATAAATCGTTATTTTGTACAACTTGCAGTAAAATATTATAAAAAAAAAAGGAATTCAAAATATTTACATTTCCAGTCTTTTCTAATAACATAAGTCGATAATAATCATGAATTGCATTAGATAATTACTGAATAACAATAATTGATTTTCGTGCATTTTGTGAAATGATACACACAAGTCATTGTGCCAATATCGTAAGTACGTATGTCAAATTAAAGTTGAATATTTTCACACATTGACTAATTTGTGCTTGTGAAATATATTATGATATCACATTTTTGCTTAGTGCTGATTCCCGCTTTCTTTACCGTTGCACTTTTTCCTGCTTCTGTTGAGGAGTTATGCTTTTATTAATATACGAAATCGATTACGCCTACTTATTGACTTACTGCTAATTACTATGGATATTCTTATAATTGAATCCACGATGTTGAGGTGCACTAATTGTCACCTTTGCGTCGATAGGAATCAGGGGCATTTTGTGTCCTCATTTATATTTACAATCTTAACTCTTCTTTCAACATGCAGATCTTTGCAACAGATATATATTTAGTTTTATAGCTTTTTATATAGCTGATAATTTATGGTCCTGCCGTTATCGTAAAATTAGTTACTAATCTGTCAATATTTACACCTTCTTCAGACACCTGTCATAATAATATGTATCTTGAAAAATAATTTTGTAAATAATATAACTCGTTTACATGACTAGAACTTAGATTTTATGAAAAACAGGTGGTGCTAGTCTTATATTATGTAAGGACCTTTTAAATCCTAAACAAAACCCTTCTTCCAATGTTACTGATCATTATATTATTATACTCCTTAAATTCTTATTTATATATATATATATATCATTAGCGCCTGAGAATTTATATTCTGAAATTACAATGAACTGCAACGAATGCTGTTCTAAAACGTAAGGTAAATGTAATTATTAAATTCCAATTTTAAAAAAATCGCAAGTTCTAGAGACATCAAATTATATAATTTTGATGAAGTAATAAAGTAGAAAAAAATGTTGCATACGGCATTCGTGTACACCACACTTTTTGGTGAGGCAAAGTTCTATAGAGAATCTGGCATTCTCCTTTTATATCACCGATAAGTCAAAAATATGTCATTAAATAATCTTGCTTACATTATTAAAAGTTTTAAAGTTCATGCGATCGTACGGGCGCCAGGATAGGTGATAGCAGGTGATAGGATAGTGAATAGATTTAATTATAGTATTATAAGACTTTTATATAATTATTTAAACATCTTATAATAATTGGTGATGGCAGCCCTAGTCTGAGCTTATAAGTTAAATAGTAGATCAAGTAATGGATGATACCTGATGGTGTGGATGTGATAAGCAAATTATGCATATTTTATAAATTACATAAAAATTATCATATTTCAGGTTAGTTTTAACTATGTCAACATATTTCACAAAGTATAAGCAAAATCAGTACTTTGCTTGTACAATATATTTAGTGATGTTCTAACACTGATGCCTTACACTTGACATGAGTACTTAACTGAATGATCGTTAATGAATTACCTAAATAAAAAGAATGATAAAGATAATAGTTGATGATAATAACTACTAAGTATATCTAATTATATTTACAGTCTCTAACATAAGTTAACTGAATTATTAATTTTAATCAAATAGTGGTTTCAAATTTATTTATAAATAAAATGTAATATTATAATGTGATAAATATTAATGCTAAAATACACTTGCAATTTTATAAATGTAAAAGAACATACAAATTAGAAAGCCAAGCTTGTGATTTTAATCTGTAAGAAACGAAAAAATACTTTGTAATTTTGAATATATTACACGTAGTAGAGTCATGCTGCAGCAATATTAGTAGTATAGTTGTAGCACGAATGGGTTGGTTCGACCGGGGAGGACCACGCTCTCACAGAATACTAGCATAAAATAGTAGCTTAACATTACTATGTTTCGTATGGTGAGTGTAGAGTACCGGAGACCCTTTTTACTGGAAAAGAGGCATTCCATCTTAGTCCTCACGGGTGACTACGCATCTGCATTTTGATTCTTTGTTGAGGATAGTGTAGATGTCAATGGGTCACAGCAACCACTTATCATCAGGAGGACTGTGTGCTTGTTTTCCACCCTATTCTATAAAAAAAATATTACTATTTGTAGTGTTTGCATATATATATAAGTCACTGTCTCGAGCGCACCGCGTCAGTTACACGAGAGCCTCGGGCGAGAGTGGACGTGGAGAGTGCGTGCCGAGCCTGTGTTACACTACAGTGATTAGAGAAGATAGCAGACAATACAAGTGGCGACGAGAAAGAAGGTAAATACCTGTTTAGTATAAAGATATCAACAAAAATAGGTTAGCAATGTGCAACTATTAGCATTGCAATTGTAAACTAAATCCTAGAGTACCCGCGGAAAAAAACTTTGGATTATGAATTATGATTTATTGTTTTTAACCCTGTTATGATCATTTTAATAATTTATATAAATTATATGTTCGCATATGAGACCACGCTTATGGTGTGCAAAATTTATTTTCTTTATGTAGCAATGATAAAATAATGATTTATTTTAACATGTCTATTAGCAAAACTTTTATTTAAAAAGATTTTTGATGGAAAAATAGTAGATGTAACTAATCACTCCTCTCGATTCGAACCGAAATACAATGTCGTTAGCTAAATTTTAGTGGCATTTTACATGTAGGTGTGATATTTATCGCCTTTAATGAAAATACTATTTTACCGCCTTCATGGCATATATGTCTTACGAAAAATCGTGGACACTTCACGACTTCTGTAAATTGCATAGTAGGTAACTAGTAATACTGTAAATGCGCATTATAGGTATTGAATTCACCCAAAGCCTAAATGGCACAGCATGGAAGTAGTCGGTATAACAAATAAACCAAAAGAAAAGGGCGAGTGTTATGGAACATATTACTATCATGAAATTGAGTTTGGGTACCAAGATACCAACCATTAAATTGGTGTTGGGTACTAAGATACCATCATTAAATTGAGTTAGGGTACTAAGATACCATCATTAAATTGAGTTTGGGTACTAAGATACCATCATTAAATTGAGTTTGGGTACTAACATACCACCATTAAATTGGAGTTTGGGTACTAAGATATCACCATTAAAGTGGAGTTTGGGTACTAAGATATCACCATTAAATTGGAGTTTGGGTACTAAGATACCGCCATTAAATTGGAGTTTGGGTACTAAGATACCACCATTAAATTGGAGTTTGGGTACTAAGGTACTACCATTAAATTGGAGTTTGGGTACTAAGGTAGGTACCACCATTACTTTGGACTTTGGGTACTAAGTTACAACCATTAAATTGGACTTTGGGTGCTAAGTACTACCATTAAATTGGACTTTGGGTACTAAGTTACTACCATTAAATTGGACTTTGGGTACTAAGTTACTACCATTAAATTGGACTTTGGGTACTAAGTTATTACCATTAAATTGGACTTTGGGTACTAAGTTACTACCATTAAATTAGACTCTGGATACTAAGTTACTACCATTAAATTGGACTTTGGGTACTAAGTTACTACCATTAAATTGGACTTTGGGTACTAAGTTACTACCATTAAATTGGACTTTGGGTATTAAAATACCAGCATTAAATTGGAAATAAATATATAAGAAACTGTTTCAGTTTGTCCCTAAAATAATAACAATAATGATACCGTTATCAACTTTAATGTGATAGCACATCTATGGCTATAAGGTGTGAAAAATGGAAAAGGTCTCTACTAATCTATCTGGACGCAGCTGAAGTTATATCAGCACTCAAGAAACGAGCTACGCTATTGCATTTTGGTGGCTCTGGAATACAAGAAATATTCTACAATTTACCGGGTGCCAATGTTGAATCATCAAAAACCGTTGATGTATTTAAAGTAGCCATAAAAAAAAAAACTCGACGAGTATTTTCAACCTAAACGGAGCAAAGTTTATGAGCGGCATGTTTTTCGATTGCTAAAACAGAAAACAGGAGAAAAATTTGAGAAGTTTTGATAAGATTGCGTCAACAGGCCGAAAAGTGTGCATTCGAAAAGCAAGATGATCATCTCATAGATCAAATTGCAGAAAAGTGTAATTCGAAATTGCGCAAGAACCTTATATCTTACAAAACGTGGGAAGAGTT